CCAAGCCTGCGCCAGCTACCCAGTGCTGGTTCACGCTTCAGGTGCCTCAGGCCCCAGCCCCAGCCCCCAGTCCCTACTCCCCCGACAGGCCCGCCGCCTCCAGCCTCCCCTCCCCTTGGCATTGCTTGGCTTTAACTTTGCGCAGCTTCTTTTCTCGCCGGGCTGGTTGCTGGGAGGTGCAGTGGGCAGTGGCGGCTCCCGCTGCGAAGCCGGGGCTGGAGAGGGGCCCCGGCCCAGTGCGCGGGGCGGCGAGAGGCGCTGGCTTCAGTGAGCTCTGCCGGTGGGGGGCCGAGGAAGGCTGTCGAGGAGGAGCAGGCCGAGGTGGAGGAGGCCGGGGAGGGGTGATGATGGTGTTAAATGTGGCCTCGCAGCTCCCCGGGGAGCTGCCTGAAAGGAGAGAGCGCTCACCAGCTGACAGCGCGTGCTCCGTTCCAGACGCTCCGCACCACGGCCAGGAGCCTCTGCCAGCCCCTCCATTGTCAGCCGCTCTCTAATTAAGAAACACTCACATTACGGCAAACCACCCCCACGCTCCTTGGTTCCTGTCCCTTTCTTTATCTGCCCCCGACTTCTCTCCATCCCTGGCTCTCCCCTGCGTTCTGGGATTTAACCCGTTCTCCTCCCTGCTGCCTTTTCCATTTAGGGGCCTAGACCGGGAAGGGACAGGATTTGGGCGGTGGGTGTCTGTGACCCTGCTTGGCCAGGAGTGGTGAGGGCGGCTGGTGAGCGTAGTGGAAAACAGCGAGGAAGACGAACACCCTGCCTATACTCACCCCACCTCCCCACTCCTATACCCCCTGAAAATCTACAGCAAGCAATTCACCTGCTAGGGGTTATGTTTAGGTCTCACCCACACTTGCTGGTCTTTCCATGGTAGATTGCCTTCGACAGTCTAGATTTTGTAATTGACAAATGGGTCTGCTACTTTGTGTTCTCAATTCTATCCGGAAGACAGAATTGATCTTTTTTTTTTTTTCTTGAGCTTTCCATGAGTAGAGGAGAGAAATATTACAAGCTATGTTTTGTTCAAGACCTCTTTCTTAGTTCAAGTTCAAATCTCTCAAAATGATGCATGAAAGCATTTGTGATGCATCCGTTATAATTAAGGATATTACTCTTCCCTCTCTTTCCTGATCACACTGGACCCCTAGTTCGCAGTGCCCCATAGAGAATGTGTTTAAACTTGCCCATTGCCAAAAATAATCTTCATTCAGCTCTCCGTGAAATCGAGTAAGTTTCCCAAAGTGTGCTGAGCCAAAACCCTCCACAAATATGAGTGGTGATGGGCTAGAAGTTAAGGACAGCATACAAAGCAAGCTGTTTAAAGTGTGACACCCCAGAAAGCAACAGCCGTGTCGCAAAGAACTAACCCGATTTTTCTATCTTCATTACTTTAAGAAATGCCGCCTCTTTGTTTGTTTGGGTGATATTAAGCATGCTTAACTTGCACACATAGTTGATTCCTTTGCTAGTATCTTGGATACTTGGATCTGACTTTGGAAGGTAGAAGCTAATTGCTAATAATGGAGAGAAAGGAGCCAGTCAGCATGGCAGGAGTGGTCTGGCATATGGGGAATGAGCGCTCAGAAATACTCAATATTCAAGTTTCCAAAATATTAATGAGATTATAGCAACCTGCAGCTCTATGTCCCAGCTTGTTAATGGAGTGTAAGGGAGGCGAGCTGCCCCACGTTTGTTATGCAAACTCCACAGCAGAACCCTAACTTGGAAATGTGCTGGTACATCTCTTTCAAAGAAATGCCAGCATAAAAAAAAAAATAAATAAATAAAAGGAAGAAAGAAATAGAAGGGGGGGGGAAGCTAAAGTTCTTATTAGTAGTTTGAGCACTTAATTTACCACAAAGGGATTTGACTTCTTGTGCATGCCTTGATGGGCTGGTTAGAATTCATCCTCACTTTTCAATGAATGGGATATAAAATTTGCAAAGTGGCATTGTGTTATGGATTATTTTTTCTAGAGAAGAAATGTACCGGGGCGTCCTTAAACGAAGGTGGGGTTCTCTCCAATTCCTGTATAATGCCACCAACATGACAAAATAGAAATATCCACCTCTTTGCTGGCACGGTCCTGTCCCCCCACTCCCCAACCTTGGGCATTTGGATACCTAACTACTGACTTTTTTTAAAAGAGAAAAACATGTGACAACACTGTGCTCATGGGCAAGGGTACTAAGATCTGGTTCTAGAGACTGACCTTTCTGGCTGTGTCTTTGGGGCAAGTTAGGGGCAATGGTTTCAGATTTACAGAAGTGCCAGGATGCCCTGTTTTGCAATTCCTGAGTCCATAAAAAGCAGTAACATTGAACAAAGGCTTTCCTTTTGGTTGACATGAAAGGAGTGTAAGTGTTCAAAAAGAATGAAATATAGTTTTCTCTGAGAAAAGAAAATCATAACCCTTTCTGTCCTCCACTCCTTCTTTCTCTCAGACTCACAACAGGTAAAAGAATTCTAGGTCCTTTTTGCTCTCTTCCTCTACACAAGCACCCAGACTCTCAAAATAAGAGCACTCTCATCTTGCAAGGTTGCCTTGTGTCCATACCTGTTGATCTGCTTATTGGGAGCGCAATGGAAATGTGTTAGAAGCAATCGCTTGATTTATTCAGCAGCCCGAAGATTCCTGATGCTTATAGAGAGCCGGCGAACTCGCTGGGAGCCAAAGGTTATCTAAGGGACAGGTGCATTGTTTCAGCCCCTGGAAAGTGTCACGAGCCGCCGCTCACCTGTCCCAGAGAGTTGGCTGAGGCTCTCAGCTTCCTTCCCTCGGTCTGGTTCGGCTGAAAGTCGCGGACAGCCAGGAGGTCAGTTAGACGCTGGTTCGCGCCTCCTGGTTGACCAGACCCCGCGTTCGCAGGCGCCGTTCTCTTTCGACAAACCTAACTTGAGGAGGTTTTTTTCTCTTTTCAAGGTGCTGGAGGGGGCGGCCGGAGGGGAGAAGGATGCAGGAGCGATGAACCTTCCTCACTGTTTAAGGGGAGGAAAGGAGGGTGCTTCCCTTTCCCGCAATTTGTCCTCCCAGTGAGGACACAAAACAAAAGATTTGGCTTAAAATCAACCTCTCGACTCCAGCGAAGTTGATCTTACCGAAGGTCTGATACACGTTTTACTCTCACGCTTGCCAGTCAAATATCTTTTTTTTAAAAAAAATCCCTCTTTTTATCCTCTCTCTACACACACTGCATTAGCCTTTCCAAAATCTCTGGATATAACCCGGAGACCCAGAATAGCCTTTTCCTCCGCGAGGGACACCTGCGGTGAGTGCGCGCACCGGGTAGTTTTTGCAACTGACTCAACAACGTAGGTAAAGGTTTTGCGCTTGGAAGAAGAAGAAGAGGACCTAGGAAAAGGCACATCATCTTCTATGCGGGACAAAGAATTGTTTGAAAAGATAAAGAATAAGTGAAGGTCCTAGGTCCAATGTCCTGGGACAACTGCATGCTTCTCATTTTTGAATCCAATGTGTATTCCCTGGATCCCTCAAGTTCTTTTTTCCATTGTCCTCTTTCCTTCTAAAGGTCTCCCTCCCCCAAAAGAGAGACTGAGAGACAGAGAGAAGGGGGTGGCAGTGGCAGGGAGAAAGAGAAAGAGGTGGGGAGAAGACCGGGTAAGCTGGTGTTGTGTATTTGACCTACGTGAGAAACTTTGTGAGTGGAAATAGATCCTTAGGGACTCGAACCTTGTGTCTCCCCTTACAGAGATGGTTGAGGCTAGGAGCAGAAAAGATTGGGAAGTCCTGGCTACCCAAGAGGTAACACCGTGTTGCAAATATAGGCAACCGGTTTATCTCACAATTCAATGAACTGGCTTGAGTTCTTTTCTATGGAGGGTTTCTAATACTATCTGAGAGCACCAAGTTTAAACATTCTTTCTTCCAAATGGTTAGATCACACACATTCTCATTTAATAGACGACTTAGTTGACATCTTCGAAGTCATTTAAAAACTATTTTTGATGCTTACGCTCGAATGGAATAACTGAGTGACGAAAGTTACTTTCCACGTTTATTTTCATCATTTGCAAAAGGAAATACATAAAACAATGGCAGCTGGCTTTGCTAAATTAAAATAAAATCATCTTGAGTAGAAAACGTAAAAAAAAAAACCGAATCAAGATCAGTAGAAAAGGTAGCACGCAATAATAAATAAATGTTCTAATATTAACAAAGCAAAATAAAATGGATCGAATGCTTTTGACACTACCATCTGTTTTTTTTTTTAATTTTTCCTTTTTTAAAAAAACAAACATTCGCGAAGAGCTTAAAGATTACAAGTGGCTGTGTGTGTGTTTTTTAAAAATGGTCTGCAATTGGCAGTTGAGTTTCTCCTGCAGCCGTGGCAGCCGCGGCTGATAAAGTGCGTGCGCCCCGCGTCTTGAAAGACGCCAACGTTCTCGCGATCGGATACAGTGTACATACTGGGTATGTTTCCACAATCCACAAACCGTAAAGTTTCCTGTTTTCTAACAGTTCCGCAGTCAAAAGTTATTCGCTTTGGGAGCATTCACTTGGAGTTTCATAATGCATTTTGGGAAACAACTTCGGAAGACTAACTTCCCACACGTGAGTACGCGCAACACACAGGGATAAATGCCCAGGGCATGAAATAAATTAAACCCAAACCAGCGACAGAGAACAAGATGCGACGTTTTAGCAGCGTATTGGCAGCAGGAAACTAGAATGGTGATGCCACGTGTGAGTACCTAGAATTACACTTTTTGATCTATCTATGGGGGGAGCGGAGGTGGGAGGGAGGGGCACAACTTTAACCACGTTTTCATCAAACAGTATGGACCCTAGGACGTTTGGGGTAGCGGCGGCATTTGCAAACTATCAAACGTAGCTGCCATCTGAAGCCAAGTCGTTGCTAAACAACGACCGTCGCAGAGCAAAAATTAAAGGGTCCGGGGATCTTTAGCCGCGGGGCTTCTCGCGCACTGGGAAAGGGCGGGTTAATCTGTCTCGGTTTTCAGGATTCTGTCCCCTCCTAACTTGCCTCGTCCGAGTCACTGTAATGAGAATGAGGGGAAAACTCCCCGTCGCTTCTGTGGGATCGGGGAGAAGTTTTGCTACTTTCCTCCTGCACTGGCTGCAGGATGCCCCCGGGCAGCGAAGGCGACAAGTTCTTTTGCGCCATCATCGCTGTCAAGGCGCTGTCCTCAAAAGCCGAGAAGTGCAGAGCGTCCAGGGGCACTGAGTACCCTCCCGCAGAGGCCGGGGCCGAGAAGCGAGTCCGGCAGCTCCCGGACGGGGTGGGCCGCGGGCCCCCTCCCGAGGCGGGCTGAGCTCCGGCCGCGGTCGCGGTGCCCGCCCCGCTTTCGAAGGAGGCGGCGGCGCGAAGGTGGTGGTGGTCGCTTTTGCAGGCAGCTGGCGGCGGCGGCGGCTGTTCCCCGCCGCTGGGCGTTTGCAGCAATTCGGACAAGGCGTTGATGTAGATCTGGGCCATCTGCAGGGTCTCGTACTTGGACAGCTTCTTGTCGTTGTTGAACGACGGGATAACGTTGCGCAGCTGGTCGAAGGCGTGGTTCAGCCCGTGCATCCTGCGCCGCTCCCTGGCGTTGGCCGCCAGCCGTCTTTGCTTCTGCACCCCGTTCACCTGTTTGCTGGAAGGGGCCCGCTGGCGGCTGCAGCCCAGCTCGTCCACCACCACCGCGCCTTTCAGCTTGCACAGCTGTTCCCGCACTTTCACCGGCCCCGGGCTTTTGCTGCTGCCGCCGCCGCAGCCGCTCCTCCTTACCAACTCCCCACCACCGTCTGCCTCGTCCCGGGGCGCCGCCTCGTCCCGGGGCGCCTCGGAGGCACCCAGCTCGGGAGAGTGCAGCAGATACTGGGCGGCGCGTGCCGTGCAGATGCCCTGCAAAGTGGGAGCCAGCCAGGCGCGTGGGTCGGTGCTGTCCAGGAGGGACAGCTCGGCTGGGTAGACGGGGTGCTCTCTCGCCTGCAGGGTCGCAGGTGGCTGCGGCGGCGGCGGTTGTGTAAGGTGGTGTGGCTGGGGATGGCGATGGTGGTCCCCCAACTCCTTCACTTCAGCCCACTCTTCTGCATGCAGCAGGCGGGACATTGCACTGCCAAGGCCGGAGGCGCAGGGTCGGAGGAGGCACCAGTACAAGAGCTCAACCCCCCAAAAAACCCTTCCCGGGTTTCTTCTGCTACGTCTCACTTTTTTCCTCCTCGGCCCTCCCCCACCCACTCGGAGATCACACACCAGGTCGCGTGCAACGAAGCTTCTCCGGTTGCTCAAGGCGCTGCGCCCCTTTAAAAAGCGGCACGCGCCAGAGTGTCTACCCCCGCTCCTCTCCCAGCCCCCTCCTCGCGCCGGTCGCGTGTCTGCTCAGCCAATGGAGGGGCCGGCGGGGGGCATTCAGAGACCAATAACAGAGAAGTTAACAACCAATCAAAGAGTTTTTACCCGGAGCAAAGTTCCTGCGAGCGGAGCGCCCGGGCGCCCGCCAGTTTCTTTCTTTTTTTTTTTTTCCCCCTCCTTCCCACTTTTAGGTTCGTCAAATTCATATGTTAATTGCGGGGCTGTAATTCGACTCTGGTGTGTGTCACTGCCCCCGGGCGAGGGTGCTGGAGCCGGTGTGGCCTGCCCTGGGCTCCTCCGGGACTTCTCCGGCGGCCCTGGCGGCTGTGGGCCAGGCCGGGCGCACCCGGGGCCGGGAGGGCACCAGGAACGGAGAGAAGTCCGCCTGCCTGTGCTCCCAGCTAGGACCCCAGCTCCGGCGAGCGTGCCCAAACATTTACAGTGGCTCATGCATACGCACAGCGAGATCTGCGCCAGTCTCACCTATTCGCTCACGGATAAACAATTGCCAAGTGGCGTCGGTCATGGCGTTGGTCACTTAAAATCATTGTTAGAATAAAAGAAAAAGGAAAGCCAAATCCATACCCGAATGCGTCTCTTAATTTTATCACGTCTTTTCAGCGCACGCTCCGGATTTCAGTTCTCCGTTCTGTAATTTTTTTTTTTTAATGGAAAGGAAAGCTGTGATATAGTTACAGTATCCCAAACGCCAGATCCCCAATCTCCTCCCCGAGATTCGGGCCAGCTAGGACTTGTGGAAAGTGCCCTTCAGAGTGTCACCTCGGGGCTGCAGATGGGACACACGCAGGAGGGCTCCACACAAAACGCAGATCAGGGGAAGGTGCCCAAAGAAAAACCGGTCCCCATGTTCCCTGCAATTCTGAACACTTCCGAGGGACAGAACCTTCCGGAGCCCTTGGTTTACTGGCGAAGTGGCTTCGACAAACACCCAGAAACCGCAGCTTCAGGCTCCTCCCCAACCTCCCCCCCCCCCCCCTTTAGTTAGGGCGTGTTCATCGCTTCTTAAACCTGGGAGGTCCTTGGAGCTGCGATGCCAACTCCCAGGCCAATACTCCCCCGCCCCATTAGTCCTGGCCTGGTCCATTCGCCACAGGGGGCCAATCAGAAGCTCCCCGGCCCGGCACGCCCCAGTCTGGGCTCCAGCCCTGGGAGCTCTTCAGCACCGCCCCTGGGGAAGGGCCGTGGGATGCAGCCAGTTGGTGCGACTGCTCCTTTCGACTTTGGCGGTGGCTCTTACCCCGCAAGAAGCCTCTTCATTCTCTAGAGATGGTGGAAAGAAGAGCCAGCAGAGCTCTTTGGAATCTGTCTTTGCAGTGTTCAGAGGTGGCTCTGAGTTGTTCCCGTATATATTCGCTGGAACTTGATCTAACCTGCCATCCGGAACTTCTTGGACAGAATTTCCGGGATTGGACAGGAATGTATCTATCGTCAATAAGGATAGAGAAGGGTGTGCTGGAGTGTTGAAACTATGCCTAACACGTCTGTCATCCCTCACCTGTCTCTTCTTCAACCTTGTTTAATTGCTGGTGTGTAGGGATGGTCCTGGGCCGCCTTACCTTAACCGCCAGAAAGCCCAGAGCTAGATTCTTATGTGCATGTTTAGGCTTCGTTATAATGCTGAATAAAGACACATAAACCCAAAACTATCCAAACTTAATCGAAAATCACACATAAGTGTAAAGAGAAAGTCAGGCCTACTGGTTAAGGGAGCCAGATCCCACATGGCCCTCCTAGGTTAAAATCCTGGCCCCTGTGCTTGACAGATTTGCCTGGTGGCTGTGTTTGTGGTGGCCTACATCCTGATGGGATGGAGAAATGAGGGAGATGGGATCGCAGGGTGACCGTGCCCCATTGGGGGGTGTTTTCTCCCTCTAGGTCTCCCTGGTAAACCAACTGCTCAGTGGCTCTCTGGCAATTGAAAGAGAGAGAGAGAAAGAGAGAGAGAGGAGATGAGAGGAGAGAGAGAGAGAGAGGAAAAGAAAAAAAACCAGAAAAAGTCAGTGTCTTTGGGGAAGAAAATTCTCCAATTTTTTGGTGGTTGGATTGGGTACAGTTGAAATCAATGAACAATTCTGTTAGTGTAAATAATGCTACTTTATAAAATGTGCTAGTTTAAAATATAATTGCTAGTAGCTGCAGGTGCCTGAAATGGAACTTTAATAAAAGAATTGCTGTACATACCCACCACCTATATGTATAGCAGTGTAAGCTATTAGAGCCAGCAAGTACTATCATCTATATTGCCTTATTCCTCACTTGTGGGCTTTTCCCAGCTGTATCAGCTGCAAGTGACCTCAGGAATTCTTTCACAGACTGTCACAACCAAAGGTGTGGGGTCCAAATTTTCCTTTGGCTTGCATTGTCCAAACATTTCATCTTGATTTATATTGTGATTTCCGGTTAACATTAATCATTGTATATCAACTTAACTAAGTAAGTAATGTAAGAATCTGGGACACTCGTTCATGAACCTGTTTCCGGGTCTGCTTGGGTCTCATCCAGAGTGCATCATTTCCATAATATGGTAAGTTGGTTTTGTGGCCCCATCCCCAAACCCAGGGCCTGATGTTATATCTAGGTCAAGGTGAGAACTTGCACAGTTAGTTCATATCCTTTGGTTGGGAGTTCAGTCTCTGACAAGGTCCAGTAGCATGCTGTGACCTGCTCTTAGAAAGGCCAATAGTTCTCTGGTCCAGACGGCAGACCTTGCACCAAGCACTTGGGTTTTTGCGGTGACTCGTCTATGGGAGCTAGCAGAAGCCTGTGTATGCATGATTACATTCAGCAAAGACCCTGGCACCATGGGATCTGCTCAGTCATATGATCCAAGTGACAGGGATGCTTGTCCCACTGCTTACGTTCACTGCAAAGTTCCCCTCAAAACTATTTGCCGTCTAAATCAGCTGGTAAATGTCTGAGCTGTATTTCGAAATGTGACATATACCTTCTCCAAAATCCAAAGAGGATAACCAGGTATTATGCTTTTCTTAGTGGCAAGAGGTGCAAGAAACAATAACTTGCCCTTTTCTTTGGCGGTGTCTTAGCACGTCATGAAATCATGAAATCCTGAAAACTTCACTAATTTGACAGGATTAAGGGTTAACTTTATTATTAATCTCCTGACTACTGGCCTACATATGCCTCACAAAGGCATTCCTTATTAAAGCCACTCTCTGCCCCCCAGGTTCAATTAAATGGACATCCTTAGTAGAATGAACTACTATGTGCAGAAGACCCAGATAGTTAAGGTTCCTTTATTATTGAATTATGTTGTGAAAGAAAGTTAACATCATCTTTGGTCAAGATTGTGAAGGTATACTATTGTTCATTCCAGGTAAATGCTAGCTGCTTCTCCTTTTTTTTTTTTTTTTTAAACTGTACTTTATTTATTTTTATTGGACCAGAGGAGGACAGAGTAAGTGAGTGAGAGAGAGAGAGAGAGAGAGAGAGAGAGAGAGAGGGAAAGTGAGAAAGCTAGATGCCAGATCTGGGATTCAAACTGTTGGTAAGCCATGTGGGAGTCCAGCGCCCCTGCTCCCCTAACCACCATGCCATCTGCCGGCCCCAATGCATGCTAGCTGCTTATAATTATCCTTCCTGATAAATTCACCAGATCAATAGCTCCCTAATAAGTGTAATACTGGGTCATTGGAAAAGGCATGACACACTTTTGCATAGAACACATAGAAAAATACTTCATGACTCTGCTGATGACTTACTAGAAGCCTAGCAGCTGAGTTTCTTGTCACCACTTAGTGAAGTTCCCAGAAGTCTACTGCCATCTGCCATGAATCACCTGAATTTTGCAGGTGTCAGACTGGCACCTGATGAAACAGGCACATGCTGGAGACTTCATTCTGCATCCCTTAGTGGTATGCACTTTTTATGACAATGAATTATTTTATTCAACTTTATTTATTTATTTATTTATTTATTTATATTTGACCAGAGAGGAAGAGAGAGAGAAAAAGAGAGTGTATCAGGGACTCGAACCACCATCAGCCATGTGGGAGTCCAGCACTCCTAACCACCACACCACCTGCTGGCCCCTGTGGTACACACTTTTGAGAGTAATATTAAATCTCTGTGGTTCCATCTAGCATGAGGCATTTTTCTGATTTATCACTTCAGAAGCTTTCGTTTGACTCCTTCTGCCACTATACTATGGCTTTTGTTCCAAGAGTTCAGGAGCAAATGCGAGATTTGACAGCTACCAAGCACATCCTTCTAACTGAGGCTCCTAGGGATGGGAAAACGGGCCACAGGCTTTGTGTCCCTTCGACCTCTGTCAGGTGAACTCGGGCAGGTGAACTTGGGCGGGATTCTATTTCTCACCTGCCTTTCATATACTCCCATTGTAACAAAAGATCCATGACAGCATTTGGGTTCTCCTGGGTTCTCTTGGTGTCACTGTCAGCTCCTAGCTTACCTAAAAAGACCTTTAATATTTGTGTATTTTTATGTCCTAGGTATACTGTGGTAACCAGTTGTAGGTTCATTTGCAAAAGAATTGGAATCCTTGAGGGGATCTGGCATTCTTTTCCATTGATAGGTTCAAACTTAAAAGCTAAGAAAAGATTAATGATTTTTCTTTTTGTGTGATGGTCATTTGCCTTACCTACTTTTGGTCTTTTCTGGTTATGTAGATCAAACAATATTCTTGTTGGTTACCTTTATTTATTTATCTTTTTTTCTTCCCTTTCTTCTTTTCTCTCTCTTTCTTCTTTCTTTCTCTT